AGACCAGTGTCCCAAGGCTGGTGTCCCAAGACTAGTGTCCCAAGACTAGTGTCCCAAGACCACTGTCCCAAGACTGTCCCAAGACCCTGTCCCAAGACCACTGTCCCAAGACCACTGTCCCAAGACCCTGTCCCAAGACCCTGTCCCAAGACCCTGTCCCAAGACCCTGTCCCAAGACCACTGTCCCAAGACCACTGTCCCAAGACCCTGTCCCAAGACCACTGTCCCAAGACCCTGTCCCAAGACCCTGTCCCAAGACCACTGTCCCAAGACCACTGTCCCAAGACCCTGTCCCAAGACCACTGTCCCAAGACCACTGTCCCAAGACCACTGTCCCAAGACCCTGTCCCAAGACCCCTGTCCCAAGACCACTGTCCCAAGACCCTGTCCCAAGACCCTGTCCCAAGACCACTATTTCAAGACTGCTCTGTCCCAAGACTTCTTCGGTCTTGTCCCAATACTCGTCACGGAGTGTCTTCCTCGTTGTAGGGTCTTCTTGAACCACCGTACCTCGTACCACCACTCAAGCTCTAGTAAAATTTTCCCAAAAACCCTCTCTTAAAAGCCAAATGCTGACCCCCCTCTTCTTTTTGGTTGTTTCTATTTCAATGTAGGCGCGCAGGTATCTTGTGATCACCTGTTCGTATAAAACCAAACACAAATCCTCAATAAAATGCAACAAAAAATTTTAAGTAAGAAAAATAATAAAAACAGAAAAATGAGCCCACCTAAAATTTAAAGGTGACCAATGTCTACCTTTCGTCTAAAAAAATTGTCTGGTACCTAATTGCCACGCGTTTTCCTCCCCCCACTAGTGATCTTATGGGGTATCACAAAAGCTGTCTATATCCGGTCCCCCCTACCAAACCAACCAGCGTACCAGCCTTAACTCGAGTTGGATTTTGGATCTCCACCTAATATTACCAACGCGTGTTAATTTCTAATGTAACTAAGTCAACGATGTCGACTAATTAGTTACTCTAATTTCCCCCTTTTTGCAATTTACAACCGCCAACCTCTAGCCTAACCAGTCCCCCTTCTAACCTCCCCCCTTTCTAGCCCCCCTTCTTAAGCCTAAAATATACTTTAAGCGCCGGGTGCTAAACCTCTCAAGACAAAACCGTAGACCTGTTTCCAGGCCTGCTCAAGTAAAAACGTTCCTCAAAACTGGGGGATTTCGCTTATCCAATTTTACACTTATCTCCTATAATGTAATGTGGATTCTAACGATACCCGTTCTGCCCAACTTGAGAACTCGAGAATTGCCAAATCCTTCTTGGCTGCTTTCCCACTCGACTGGTCACCTGTTCCAGTCCAGTCTCCTATTGGTTCAGCCAAGTGTCCCTGAACCACTTTCCCACTCGGCTGGTCACCTCTTCCAGTCAAGTCTCCTATTGGTCCAGCTAAGTTCCAAGCTATCTGAAAACCCTTGACAACGCCCCACTTCGGGCACTTTATTCAGTTTACTGGTTTAAATTGCTAGGTTGATCGAAACGATCGAACTTGTAAAACAGTATGGGTATACTATTTAATTAATATGAAGGTTTGATCCAACTAATCTGGTGTCAAAGTCACTGTCTTTTTTCGTTTTATGGTTTTTGTTCCTTTTTCTATTCTTTTTTGGTTTTTGTTTTGCTTTTTGTCTTTTTGCTCGTGTTTTTGTCCCCCTAGTTGCCCCCCTTTACTCGGTTAGCTAAGCCTCGTTCGGAGAGCGTACCAGGAAATTTTCTCGAGTTTTCTTAAAAAGCTATCACGGTACAACCGGAAGGTTTGCACGTTCCTGTCGAACCGTACCGCCGGTACTCTAGAATGGGCATTCAGCCCGAAGCTGTCTCAAGTGGGTTCGACTCCGTAGTCTTGATGTCGTAAACACCCAGGAGCGCCATAAAAACACTATGTAACATTCGTCTACTACAGTCACACATGAGGCTTAAGAAAAATAGGCCCTATAACCACTGGCTCAAGGGTCAGGGACACTATCTCTTGTGTTTTTCTACCTCAAGAACGGTCGGAGCCAGTTCGGTTCGCTTGTGACATGAGACTACGACCCGTTACAGCTTAAAGGCTACTACTAAAATATCCCCCCACTCTAGAATTAGAAACGTCCCCATACTTAGGTCTCTAGATACCCAAAATACATGAACGCCGTTAAAAACCGGGTCGGAACAATCCGTTAAGTTGCTTTTTTTATTAGACAGTGGAACTTTGATCCATTTCAGATGGATCAACCTAAAACTCGCCTTACCTCAACATAACAATCATAAAACACACTCTAGAAATTTAAATTAAGGACTCACATGTTGATGCGCTCAAGCACAGGAAGTAATTAAATGGGTGAGCAACTCTAGAATTAACTAAGGTGACTAGATAAGTTCAATGTTTATCAGTTTGAATGGTAAGGGTAAGTTTGAACTCAAGAACGAAGTTTTATGTGGACCATTGGGACACTCAAGCTGTCCACCTTTCCGTCGAAGGTTCACTCTGGTCCAGTTCGAATAATTACTCTCTCGGGAATACTCTGTCTTCTATTTCAGATAGGACAGCTCTACTCTTGTTCACTATGATGGAAATTGCGAATAGCAATTTCCCACTCGTTTTTATCTAACAACTTTCCCGCAATTGTTCTAAAATTGTTCTCTTTTCTTTTTCTGATTTTCAGTTCTCGCGAGAAAATCGTGCATGACATGTTCCATTCGAAATTTTAAAAATTTAAATTTCACTCCAAAATCAAGTGTTTTCTGCTCTTCTCAAGGTCAAACTTCCAAATATGACCGACTGGCACATCAAGGTCAAACTTCCAAATATGACCGACTGGCACATGATAGTCATTTGAAAGAATGGGCACCTCAGTAATTTCCCTAGCAAAGTAGTCTTATAGAATCAATACCCAGTGCACGAATGTATAGACTCGACCATAATTGATGACGATATATCTGGGTTTATGCGTTCAATAAGGATATTTTTGCGGTCGTCTGCAAAGCATTCTCTATGTGTCGTTTTGCCGGAATGAACAAAATCATGGAATGAAAAATCTGGCATTACAAAAAGTTTGAAAAAAGGTCCAGATTTTCTAGCCTTTAGATTCGTATACATACAACGAATTTGAAATGTGCGGAGGAAAATAATAAAAAATTATTTCCCTTGATATTACCCAAAACTAGGTCATTAAGACGAAAAAAGTAGGCCGAAATAATTAGGGCCGAGGATTTTTTTGGTGAATTAAGTAAAAAAGGAAATACGAAGTCAAGGCAAGATAAATGACATTTTGTAGGAGTAGATATACACTAAAGCAATCATTCAAAAAATTGCGCGAAGCAAAAAAAAAACGATTCAAGATGTGACAACTATTTGTTGCAATTGCTTTTTTTCGTTATGGAAAATGATTTCCAAGTTTATTGGAAAAACTTTATTTTTTCTCAAAAATTTCTATCAATTTTAAAAAAAGGGTATCAATTGATAGACCACCTACTTCCCTTGTAAGACTGAATACTCCCCTAGACTCTGTCTCGGCCTTCGAAAAAGTCTGTGGGGTATTAATTGACCCATATTTTAGTGGGCGAATTTTTGAACCATGTTTTTGATTTTTTTCAATTTTGCGAAAACTACCCCTCTCAAATCTGAGTTTTTAGATTCAATGATTAAAACTGTTTTGTAAAGCTCCCTGTATATGCGTCTAGGCCCAAAATCATGGCCCTCGCAATATTCTAATTTTTTGATTTTTGACCGTTTTGTGATTGTTTTTGGATTTTTGAAAACTAACCTATCAAATTTTATATTATGGTAGCGGAAATCTAAGCAGCGGAAATCTCCCATGCATAAGTGGCAACTAACGAAGTTTTCTACACAAAAAGTTATCGCCTTCGGAAAAGTCAAGTTTTGATTTTTACCATTTTTTAAACTTTTTGGATGTTCTCGAAAACTTCCCTGCCATATCTGAGATTTTGGGTTCAATTCAAAGAATGGGTTGTAAGAAGCTTGGTTCGCTGCGACTAAGCACAAATTTTTCTGAACACCAGAAAATATGGCCCTCGGATGTTTCGACCGTTTTTTTGAAATTTATTGTTTTCTCAAAAACTACCCTTCCAAACCAGACATTTTGGGCTCAATCGAAATAACGGGTTGTGTGAATTCCTTCGGCATAAGCGACAACGCACTTTTTTCACACAAAAAGCTATGGTTCTCGGAAATGTCAAATTTTTGTTTTGTTGACCGCTTTATGGACTTTTATCGCTAACTATCTTGCCAAATCTGATATCATAGGTGTAATCGAAACAACAGGTCGTTGAAAGCCTACGTTTTTAATTGGCTATGCCGTCCTTGCTTAGGAAAAAGTTATGGCCTTCAATCAAGTCAAGGTTTTGACAGTTTGTTGAAAACTTTTTAACTACGCAAAAACTACCGTGCCAATTCTCTGGGTGTGTGCAATCGAGAAACCCGGTTTTGGGAATCGTCTCTGTTTAAGCGGCAACAAACTGCTTTTGTGGAACAAAGTTATGAATTTAAAAAAGTCTCTCGACCCTTTTTTGAATTTTTGACCGTTTTTTAGAAACATTTTTTAATAATCCTAAAATTTACCGGAAATTTTAAATATTCTTAAAAGATTTCGGACAACGAAGGTTTTAGACAATGGGCAGTTTTTGAAATCCATTTTTTTTCTGCATCAGTTAGAAAATTTATTCAATATCAAGGGCGTACCTCCAATTTTAGCTGTGCCCCTAGTTGTTTTTTTATCGAGACATACCAAAGTTTTGGTTCTCATAGTTTTTTCAACATTTACAATGTTTGACTCCAGTTGTTGTATGCTTGTGTTGTTGTATGCTTCGCCTCTGTGTTAAATAAGTCTGAGTAAAAACCTGATTATGCATTTATATTTGTCCGCTATTGAAGCATTTTGAAATAACTTTGAATTAGATCTTCGAAATTCGTTTCCTGTTTGTATTCCTTTTACTCAATTTTGTGTTGCAATTGTCTGTGTACAGGATATGTTGTTGTTTTAGATGGACTTTTGGACTGGAAGTTATGATTTTCCATTCGTGAAATAATAAATTGAAAATGGAGAAAAACAACTGACGATAAACAACATAACGAAATGACGAAGATATCTTGCTTTAAAAGTAACCAGTGATGATGCGCCAAGAGTTGTTGCTTCTGTTGGGCGTTGGCTTAACTGCTTATTGTATCAGTGGATTCAAATGGAAATCCTCAAGCTGTGATTTTCTCAACCATCAGTCACAATGCGTTTGGTGTCAGCTGGAGAAAGATGAACTGGACAAAACAATAACATATCGTCCAGGTGAACCACGGGCCCCTCCCGATAAGCCGGAAAATGTCGAGGTTTACATGCACTTCATGGAGAACGCCAGTAAACGACTGCCCCTTGGCCTCAGACTTGTTATATCTCATCCACATACAACTTTATCTCTGAAAGCATTCCTCATTGATATTGACTTCAAGAGAACATCTAGAGGTCCAGTAGTTAGCCATTTTCCTAAGCTACTTGCTGAGTTTGAGGTTTTACACTTCGACGACAAGAAAATTTTGGTTAGTATAATAGATAGCAACAAGTTAGGACATGGAAGTAATCCAAAAGCAACAGACCTATTATTTCCAAATACCCATATCAACTTTGTCTAAAACATCAAAATAAAAAGCAAAACTATCACAATGGGTATATTGCTCAAATTTTTTGCAACGCTCTCTATGCACAGTTTCTATTTTTTGTATTTTTAGTTCTTGCTTTGGGATTGAGTATTTTTCTACTACTACGACAATGTTGACGCACTGGTAACTAGCAGAATTTTTGCTAACACCTAATGAAACAAAGATTATTTTGCCCTGTCTAGTGAAATTTAACGGGCAATATGAGAGTTTTGAGAAGAGAAGCTTGTCTATTACAGCCAAATGTTTTTGTAATCGAGTATTCGGTAATTTTGCGCAAATGTTCATAATATCTAAGAACGTAGAAAATATTTAAACATCCAACTTTCTCTAATTTAGTTTGTTTTTTATAAGATAGCGATGTTTACAGCTTACTATGCGGAAATTATTGAGGCTTGATTTCGCTTGATTTTAGATAGCTAATCGGAACTGATGTTTTTTGGGTGAAAAACTGGTCTAACCGGATTAGTGGATCATTTTTTGCCTGCTCTGTAGGGTAATCGCTATGAATCCGCTAAGTTCCTATCATGTTTCAGATTATTTTAGCAGTCAAAGTCATTTTAATAGTTGATTCATTTTTGAAACCTCCTTGTATTGCAAGTTGAAGAAAGTTTTACGGTATTTGTTTTTTTGAAATATTTTTAAAGATTAAATGAACGAAGTGATTTTCATTTCTTTGTTTTTTTTGTTTTTCTTTCGTGCTTCTTTGATTATATTGAAGAATTGACTTTTGATTTGTATAGATTTCAATTTTAGCTATTAATATCTACCAAATGTTAGGCAAAATACGCGAAGAAAGCACCAACGGTGTCAAATAGGAAACTTCAAGTTTCTAAGTAGACAATAAATTGCAGGTTTTTGAGCGGAATAAAAATTACTTTTTGACAGTTTTCTCAAGTTGGGTTGTTCGTGTAGGTGGTTGTGAATACTTGACTTAGATTTTGCTTTTAGCCTTTATGGTAATGTTTTTTAATTGCTTACATGATCTAGTTTTATAGGTTTGAATAGGTTGTTACACTTGCCAGTGTAGTGCATTAGCATGACTCTACTGTGCTTTTCGACCTAACTGGCAAATAAAAGTGCTCATTTGGTGGCCTCTTCGATTTGCCTAAGAAAGCACCAACAGAGCCAAATAAGAAGCTTTATTTGAAGTTTCTAAGTAGAAAATAAATAGCAGATTTTTGAACTGAATAAAAGATACTTTTTGACAGTTTTGTAGATATGTTCACAACATACTATTTGGAACCTGATCCAAACTATATCTTATTATTGGCTATAAATTAGATATTTCATCCCTATAAAATATTAAAGACTAACCAATCATACTCCATCTAACTAACAACCCTTTTATTTGTAAGTGCTGAAATCACTTGTAGTTTCAGCACCAGAGCATTCTGATTTTAACTTACAGCTTAGTTGCCTTTTCCAAGAGACCAACTCGTAACAAACCAGTATACTCTAGATCTATTGAGACTAAGAGATATAAGAGTAAGATTAAGATCGGTATAAGACTAAGAAGTTGCACGAATCTATCCGGCCGAAAATAAGATAGCGTGACGAGCAGACGGTGTACCTTATCTGAAATTACTCTATGAGTTAGACATTCCGTCACAACTCATCTGGTGCGACCATAAATCTCGAATAAGACTTTAAGGAACAAAATTGCTTAGAACTAACCAAAAAGAGATTAGACTTAGACAAACATTCAAAAATCTTACACGATAATAATCTAATTGAAATGTCTCTACGACTCAATAGATCAGAGCCATTATTCCGAACAATACGAGAACTCCCCGGTATTGGAAGAAGATCTCGGACAAGAGACGATATACGACTACAACGAAACTTACCCATAAGTTTCATGGTCGTACGGCAAAAGCCAACACAAACTTTTATATTTAGAGTTTTATTAGCAATGAATTTAGATTTTCATTTGCAGACATAGTATCATTGAAGAAAAATTTTCATCAATCATTACAGGCGCTAAACTTATTATTGTACAATTACGACTGATAAAAACGTCACTTGTCGTTTCCTTTAATCTGCAGTAAATTTGAAAAAGATATCTACAGAAAAGATTTATTAAAATAAAAAAAAATAAAAATTAGTTAGTAAATACAAAAATTGTTAGTATTTACATCATCAAAAACTAAACCTTTCTATCAATTAAACTTTAAATTACTTTAAAAAGGCCTATTCTAATTTTTACTTTTACCAAAGTATACCTTTTAAACTAAACAGATCATCAAGGCTTTCCTTGGATCTCCATTTTATTTTTATCCCAACTAAATATTATATCATTAATTTATATCTTGATCATCAAGGCTTATCCTTGGATCAAATAGAAAAATTTTGTTCTCCCACACACAGTTAGCATAGTGTCTAACGACCTCAAACGTCGATTCACTACCCAACCCTTTCTACGACCCAGGACTAACAGAAATTTTTCAATCACACTAACCATTCTAATTAGGATAAACAGTGAAGAACTTCGGTTATTCATCCTTCACTTGATCCCCCCTCTTACCTCACCCAGGATATTACTTAAACTTAGTAAGTTTAAAATAGTATCTAACTACTTGTGTTCTAATTATACCTGAACCTTGTGGATCGATTTGCTATTCTCCAACCCTTCAACACAATCATTACCCCTAAGTAAAATTAGGTAAGGTAACACCTTAACTTAAACTAGCCACGAGAAAGTAACAATCATTCTTCGGAATCGATATATGCGTTTCTCTCCAACCCTAAACAAGACCCAAGTTAGGCTAACCCGAAAAAACTGTAAGATCTAATAGTTTATTCATTAAAAATTACTAATCCAAAAATTGCATCCGTCATTCTAAACCTTATGTCACTAGACAATTTAGGAAATAAACAAACAATCATATTACACAACTGTGGAATAAACAACGAGAAATATGATCTCGTAATCACTCCACACAGACAGTCAACAGGATATATTAGAACCAAACGACAAACAATCAAACGAAAGATTTTAAGAAAACAAAGACAGATTACACGAAAAAGATTTTCAAAGCAACGAAACGCATTCTCCGAATCAGAAACCATTCATTTACAAGAACTTTATAGATTAAAAGACTGAATAAATAAGAATTACCCAGATAATGATACAATATATTTTTTTGACTCAGAAACCACATCACATTCATCAATACAAGGAAAACGAAGAATAAAAAACACATGAAAGAATAAACCAGTACGACTATACAAATGGAATCAACCAATAACACACATAGAAAGTTACAAATTGACAGTCATTAAGCACAAAAATGAGTCAATACGAAGAAAGTGAAGATGAAAACTCCATCCTGCCATTTATAATCACTTCCCTTACTGATAATAGAGGACAAAAATTTTAACAAAATTTAATAGCAAATTTATTTGAAAGAGGAGTTAGTCCATGCGCAGCAGAATTTCCAGAAGTAAAAATCAAAAGACAAATTGTCGACCACTACCTCAAAGGAATATGTACACTAACACAACAGTACGGAATCTATACCATAGAATTACAGAGCCCAACTAAATTTCATGATAGGTATCTACTTCAAACAGACGAGGTAGATATAGAATTTTCAAAAGTATTCACAGAATACATAAAAAATATACAACACCAAAATTCACACAGAGCAAGTTCAATATTTACTAATAAAGTATTTCGAATAATTTATAGCTATTTATCAATATTAGTATAACCAGAATCCCAAGGAACTTCACCAGTTCAAACATCAAAACATACAATGGTAAGACATGAAATCACCATATTTTCCGAATATTTAAATACAATCCGTGAAAATTTAACCAGTACCGACGTTTCACAAAAGGTTAAACACGATTTACAAAAAATCTTAGCATGGGTCATCATAGATTGTTTCACACATAATCTTGATTTAATCTCACAAGCAAGAAAGAATTTCAGACCCCAAAATTCAACAGATGATACAGCATTAGCAGAAGATTCAGATTATGTTTGGGACTCTGAATGGTCTCATGCATTATTCATTAACATACCAACAGATATTTCAAGTCAAGGCCATTGGCACCATTTCTATAAACAAAGATTATTTTAAGGTATATCCACTCACAACTGATTTTAACTATAATTCATTTCTACCCGATAGAACAGGAAATAATAGTTTAAATTCAACTGTCATACAACAAGAAAATCTAAATGGAACTTGGATTCTCACACAACAAGATATTCAAACATCATCACATTTCGCAAATGAAGACGTAGTTACAACAGTAGTAACAACAACACAACAAAGTATCTCACCAATACATCCAAATCTTACAACTCCAAGACCAAAAAATCCAACCCTACCACAGGTAACATTACAATCTACAGTTAAACCACCATCGAACCAAGATACCCACATGTGAGCTACCAACCATTTAGTCAATGATCAAACCAATACAAAAACAAAGAACATTCACTAGAAATAACTTTGCAGAACACAACTATAGCTATGTAAATAGACCACAAACATCTAAATCTTTTCGTCCAAGTACTCAAAATCATTTATTTTCACAAAGACAAAATTTTCGACAATCAACAGCAACTTCAATAAATTCTCATGACTACCCACGCAATTCACAAGACCAAAGTAAAAATTATCCATTTTTTCAACAGAGTAAAAATAATGAACAAAACCAAGATAAACACAATACAATTTATTATACACCTAATTATTCATCATCAGATGAAGACGATTATTATCAACCAGATATTTTTGCACCATATACACAAGAATACCGTGCAAAACCACCTCGACCAAATCAAGCATCCCAAAATACAAATGTTTACTCACAAATCCTAGCTAATACACAAAATCACCAACCATTGCAAACGCAAAACCCAA